CTTTCGTCCTGAATATCGAGAAAACACTTCATACAGTGATTATTGGACCTTTAAAGAGTATTCTTAGGAAGTTTCAGCTGAATCCAAGTTTGAGCGATTTTYGTCATAGTAGCACTTTAATAAAATTATGTCTAGTGATGTGACGACAGAAGTACTGAATCCTGAAGGTTCTTTATCATTGCCATGTCATGCCATTTGACCAGAATTTAGTTCCGATTGTAACCAGAGGTTGTCCAATAACGGGACTTTATTTTAAGCTCTGATACTAATTATTGTAATAATCTATTTGATGTTCGACAGCATTGCAGTACACATTTATTACAACATGGGTTTGGTTGTTATGTCAAAGATTTATCTAAAGTATGTGATGATCTTTCATCAGTATTTATACTTGATAACTCTCCTGAAGCTTACACCTATAACCTTGGTGAGTAACCTGCCTATTGATATGAGAAAAAACTAAGAGATAACTGTCAGTGGGAGTATCTGATAGAGATTTGTTTGTTCAGTTAATTAGCACAAATAGACCTATCCCGAATTCGCTTGACTGACCAAGAAACAATGGTTTGAAGTCGAGACTGAACTTGATTCTTTTTATCTATTGAGCCCAACCTCGACTTGAARCCATTGTTTCGTGACCAGTCAAGCAAATTCGGGATAGGTCTATTGTGTTATACTTTCATTCATGAGGAAATACAAGTTCTAGGACTTTCATAGTAATAGTTGTCATAAGAATCATACAAGTGAGGCTATCGGGTGTATATAATGCCTGTTATCTTATTTCCATCTCCTTTGCATGCATAATATCTGCTATTGGTGCAAACACACACACTACTACTACATTCAATGTTCTATGCACACAACTCTCAACTAAGGGGTTGATTTTTTCCCTTGTAGCATAGGTCTGGAGAAAACAACACATCAAACAAACTCAATTCACATAATGTGTCAGTAGGGCTTGAACCAGTGACCTTTGGAACCACAGTGTTAAAAGTTGTTGAAGCAAAGTCATTTAATTCAAAAAATCTAATTGTGATAAGGACAATAACATGCATATTAAAAAGATTAGCGCTCAAGGCCTAAGTGTTATATGGATTATGTTTTGTAAGTTAAAAACATGGATAAAATTTTTCAGGATCGATTGTACCCCTCTTGACCAATCAGAATTGAATAATTTTTAATTATTGAGTGAACTAGAAGTAATAATACCTATTGTACTTGAGGTTGTGCAACATCCTACAGTAGTACACTAACTATTTATTTCCATTTATATTATTGAACGATGGTGTATCTTTTGTGCTTGCAGATAATGCTATTGCAATAAAATCCTGGTTTGCAGACCCATCGGACACAGCACTTTTGAATCTTTTACCCATGCTGGATGCGTTACGGTTTGTTTCAGATGTGCGTTCAATATTAGGACGTAGAATACATACATATACCAAACAATAACCTTGATAAATAGAGGCAGAGTAATTAAACATGTTATTGAGTTCTAAAAAAATTGGCTTGTATAATAGTTTTTTCTTTTGTAAAATCTGGGAAGAATTTTTTCCCTGCGAACTACGAGTCTATATTGTACTGTAATTAGGAAAATTTGTGTCTTTTATGGAGGACTCTTATGAGGCAAACTTTAGAAATAGAAACAGAATTTATAAGAAAAACTAGATGACAATGATGACAAGATGTCATCGAAACGTAGTAATTTTTTGTCACTAGTTTTTCTTATAAATTTTATGGAGGCAAAAGAAAACATTTTGTGAAAATAGTGTATGGATGGCCTTGTTGCATAAAGTATGATAAAGCGTTTCAAATTTCTAAGACCACACATAACATTACTACAGATTTTGGTCTATTTTCTGGTGTACTCTTGGTGTCTGACCATCGAACTTGCAATAGTCTGAGGTCATAATAATTAGATTGATTGACCAGATTACGCAAAAATTCGAGAATGGTCTGTTTTCTTGCAATCACCACAAACGTTTGCAGAATGAAAGAATGTTTAGTCTTCTAACCAAACACCTCAAAGTTGTTTTAGAAAATGAGGCTGTGCCTTGTTTTCTCTTTTGTCAACTTTCTTCTCCGTGTTTGGATATTGGATTAAATACCATATAAAGAAAGTATGCCAACCTGTTGTATTGATGGTTTTCACGGTGGCCATGTTGGAGGARTTTGACAAAAGAATTGWCAATGAATTCTTTTGTTRTATCCTCCAACATGGCCGCCGTGTCTCTTGTTATTTAATTCTCTTGGGAATGGTTGAAAACCATCAATTGGGGTCTCAAATCTACCATGTCAAATCAGAAACTTATTAGTTGTTACTTTATGAGAGCTAATCTACTGTATGGTTAAATACTAGATTTGTTTGTACTTAAGGTATGGTGCGTGCCATGTATCCATGAAACGAAACAAAGATGTATTGTCAAACTGCAGCTATTTTGTACTTGATAGTSAATATTAGAGTGCATACCATATACAGATATATCAAAAAAGGTTRARTACTGAATACTGCATACTGAATAGTGCATTCCAAGACCAARGKGCATTGTGGGTCATAGTGACAWTGTCTAAAGTAGGATTAATAATAATTATTTATTCTATTTTTAGTGTATTTCATCTGAAACAAYAYACTAACTACATGTAAGGAGTTAATTGCTGTATATTTACTTTTTATTTTAAATTAATGAGACCCACGATGCCCTTTGGTCTTGGAATGCAACATTTAGTATGCACTATTCAGTTTTCAACCTTTTTTGAAGTAGCTGTTATCCTTGAAAAAGTTAATCTTACAAAATTGTAATACTCATTAGTGCAAAGCTTTGTAGGTCTACGGTCTACTGAGGTCTCTACTGAACTTACGAATTCGTGCAAATTGGTGCAATTTCTTACAGTTTAAAGTTTTTCGCAGATATCTGGTATGCACTCTGTTGGTGAAGTAGAACATTGGGAACAAAAGCAAACACCTCTCAACATCTTTTTTAGCTGATGCCTGTGAATTCTCATTTGTTTGACAACTAAATAATTGATGTCTAAGTAGTTATAAGCGTTACATAGCTAGTAATTGTTACACGGATATATGACATGCACTCTATTGTATGGCTTAAATCTGTTTTTGAATATATGATTATTGATGAAATATCTATTTTTCTCTTCTACTAAAATGTGATATCTTCACGTGGAAATCGAGTGAAGGCATTTAACCCGTGAAATACAAAAACGTTAATAACATGCAATATTCAAAAGAAAACAATGGAATTAGGGGTCTGTAYAAAACTTTTGTATCCTCAAACTTTTTTTTTGCGGATACGAAAATGTTCGCGTCCACACGCAGCGTATTCGAATCGTTTGCACTGTCCACACGTATCCGGAAATTTCTTGATCCGCCCTGATGCACGCTAGTGCCTAGTCCCTTTGACGGATAGTTTTTCTTATTRAGCATGCGCAAAATCGTGTTTACGTCAGCGTATTCGTAAAGTTTGTGGATACGACCGTACCCGTATCCGCAAAAAAAAAAAAAACAAAAAAACAAAACAAAACAAAACAAAAAACAAAATTGCGGATACAAAAATAAATGTCTAGTATAAATGGAGTCAGGATGTCGTGGTGGTGAAACACTCAACTCTCACCACCGAGGTTCGGAGTTGGTTATCCCAGTTGCCCCATGTTAGCCGAGTTGGTGGGTTTTCTTTCYGACTCCGGGGGTTTCGGGGGCCTCCGTTTTTTTCGACCCCGTTGAGCTGTGCCACTGCTGTACTTGCGGTAGTGATAAGCGATGACGAGTTCTTTTGAATATCTATTTCATAGGCTTAGTGACTTCACTCTAACACCATTTAAAGAAATCGCATTAAATAATAAAAAAACATTGAAATGGTATTTCATTAAGAATTATATTATCAAACAGAATATTACATTGCTGCTWGGGGTTTTTTGGGTGCATGACTCAAAATCTCTCGAGATATAAACAACAATCAAACAGCCGCCATTTTGGTTTATAACAAGAGAAGCTAATGAGGAATGCTTTGTTAGCGTCAACCAACATGGCGGCTATTACGTAACATACAACCCAAGAAATCACCTCTGAACACTCTAAGATAAAATCTGTAACTCCGTGCAGTGTGTAATATCCTCTATGTACTTATTTCAATAAAGTTAGTCACCAAAAACCTAGAAAACTGTGATCGCTTAGAATCATGGGAAATATTTTATATCCAACRAGTAAAGCTTTTGACACAAACTGCAGCAGKTGAGGATGCTCAGAGGAGGTTAACTTGTAACTGGTAGAAGATCTCAAGTCCATCAACAGTTATCAAGCGGYGGTTGAAACATGTAAAGTGTCTATCCATAGTCCTTGTCGGTCTCASCTTTGTAGCTCTTTAGGTGACTAACTTTATTGAAATAAGTGTATCTGAATATGAAAGTATCCTTGACTGACATGCATGAAGTATATTTACATGACGTTCATAAGTGGTATAACGATATTTAATCTGAGGCAAGCAGCTTCCATCCAGTCAGGGGAGTGATCAGTGACGTTGTACTACACAATAGTCAATGGGTATTGAAATAATGTTTGCTATTTTTTCGAAAACAGAACAAAATCTTTATCTTTAGTTGATAAAATTAATGATAAAACAATTATTGAATTCGGTTTTTGCATGATATGAGTCAACTCTCGTTACAGCGGACACCTCGGGACCGTCACTAAGTGTCCGTAATAACTAGCGTCCGAAAAAGCGGGAATTAATTATGACCCTCGACTGTTTTATCTGTCTCAGCCCAAGGCAGATAACACGGCCTTGGTGTTGATAATTTACGATATCATGCTCGACCTCATCCAATATTGTATAATATCTGTACAAGGTCATGCACGACACATAGGAAGATTACTGTGATGCTGACTGTGATATTTTGATGCTTATGGCATCATGGAAATTTACTAAGATATTTGAAATTTGTGAAAGAAAAAATCATTTATAGACAATACGTGTCTGGTGTTGTTACCCTATTAAGATCGATTCATCCTGCAAGGCCCTTCTCGCTCGGTCCCACCTCACCTCTGCAAGACAAGCTAAAAAAGATGTTGAAGCAGCCCTTCCCATGCCTCTCTCCTGATTATTAGTGATGCAATCTCAATTATGGCAAAGTATCTGTTCCATAGGAAATACGATCTGTTCTTCCGCACAGGGCCGGATTGATTCTGTTGCGAGGGACACTCTGAAGGCCGATTTACGTACCCGATACGATTTTTCCTCACAACTATCGCACGCGACTCTTGTTTACGTCAAGTTTTATCTGCCTTTGAAGGGTTAGACACATCTACTCTCCCGGTAAAAATTAAAATTTTGGGACATTCCATGGGACAAAAAAAAAAAAAAAAAAAAAGGCATCTACGATTCTTGGTGAAACACCACTGAACTTCTAAAACGGTTTTGTTTTCATTGCCAGGCCATGCAGTATTAGACTTGACAATTTCTTTTCTTTTTCGTTTTGATACGACCATTTACTACATTGGCCTATGTTTACGTTATAGTTGTTTCTGTTATCCCAACATCTCCAGTGTTTCAAATCGGTAGTATTAGGAGTACTAATGGCTGGGAGGAGCCCCTGATTTATTTGAGTGCTTCTATATTCTAAACAATCCGAATCTAATGSAAATGAATTCAAACAATAGGCTTTGCTTATTTGCATTAAACGAGACGAGAAAAAAAATCTACCAGTTTTGTCTGTAWTCACAGAGTGGGACAATCACGAACGGAACCACAGATCCATGCTAGGTGAAAGCCCAAGATCGAATTGGAATTTTAGAAGATTTTTGCGGAGGGAGGAAAACCGGAGAACCCGGAGAAAAACCCTCGAAGCACAGGAGAGAACCAACAAACAACTCTACTCACATAYGAAACCGAGCACGGCGGGGCTCGAACTCGGGTCGCATTGGWGAGAGGCGGCGCATTAGCAGCGCACGCCACCCGTGCTTAGAGGTTTTGCACCACGTGTCCACGCCCATAATACAGCTTGAGTTGCCTGTGGTTAGATGGCAGAACAATAAGATCCCTTGCTTTTGGGAATTATGGCTGCCGGCACGTGATGGTGCAAACCTCTATTCGACATTTTTAAGCTGGACCTTAGCCAGAAATGCAGTTGCAGTAAAATCTGTTAGAAAGACATAATGCATCGATGATTATTCATATAGCGCCCCTTGTATATATGGCATATGGACCAACTCCATCTTCTACCTCACCCATACATGAAATGGATGCCGTACTAAAAAGTTCTGGCCATCACCCCGGAAAAGAAAACCAAATTGATAGAAAAGGGAAAGCCCAAGAATAACGGTGTAAAACACATGGATTACTGTAGTCAATTTTCAAATCACATTTATTTCAAATTCTTTGAAATTAAAAAACTATAAAGCCTTTAAAATAGCATCGCCAATGAATGAAGTGCGTAAATGACCTTGAAGAATCAGCACTTTGTCTATAATATACTTTATTATATGACCGTGAATCTTAGAGCCTGGACACTAGCAAATCGAGCAATCTGATTGGATAGATCGCATCGCGGACTGGTCTAGATTCTCCGGTATTAACCGGTCCGATCGCATATKAATCTTACGGCGAAAAGTGGTCATATAATATGACTCTTATCAACCGAGCGGGAGGTCTGTACGGGATAATCTTGACCTCGGTCTGTACATTCCGACCTCGGTCAAGATTATCCCGTCAAACCTCCCGCTCGGTTAATAAGATCTAAGTAAAATATTTCTTTATAATAACCATAAAATGTCTAACTTCAGGTCAAATATTAATCTAACTTTGAGCACAGATTTTAAACTGCGTTACCTACAAAGACAATTATCACGGTTAACTACTTCTGTTATATAATGGATTATAGTTTGTATGTGATTTCCTTTGCAACTGGATGGTGTTAGAAGCTCAATTTACCCATTACTGAAATACCAGATTATGAATAGCATTGTAGAAAAAAAATCGGGCTTTTAGTAAAAGACAGTACCTCTGTCCTTACAGTAGCCAAGTCTGCTCTGGTTGACAATCATCGCCGATATCCCTAAGTACACTGTAATGGGCAGTTCTTCCTCAACTACTTCAAAATTTGGCAGCGACATCTTGCTTGCTTCGGTTGCCCGAGCCGCATTGATAGCCTCGATCAGAGCCTTTTCGAATCCTTTGATCTGCACATGCGCAGGGGGGTCAGGCGTTAAGTCATACGTGCGATGATTGGTCAGTGAAATATAAGGAATGTCTTGTGACCATGGGTTCCAGTTTTGAAACAGGCCTGGTTCTAATCTTGCAAAGTGGATTCTGACGCCATGTTGGAGTAGGCGCGGATTGCCGTCAGCATATCCAGTCAGCCTAGGTAGTAAGAGATAGACGCGCAGCGTTAACAATACAATCTTATAACCCACAAGCGCATTTCT